GGGTGCCCATGAATACCTCGGCCGTGTCGCCTGTAATCTCACTTTTCCTATCAGGGATGCCGATTGACCCATCATGTTTGCTCCAAAATTCCAGATTTTGATGTAAACCCGGCACGAGACATACAAATTTCGCAAGAGTCAGATCCCATTTCACAGCACAATCAGACGTCTGGAAGCAGAGTCGTGAATTGTCTGTAATTTTTTCCAATGTGAATACGGCCTCTTGAAGTGTCCATAGCCGTTTCATCCAACTCCCACACATGATTCTAATGCAGAGTTCTAAATTGGAAACACGGGTCGCTTGAATACTACATAGCTCCCGATCAAGCACGAGTGTGGCTGTAGATTTAGAGAAGGTCTCCCCTAGCATAGTAATGGCTAGTTTTCTGTATTCTTTGAGATGGTAGGCTACTGGGATGCATAGCGTATCAATCCAAAAGGCTATGAAACGCTTTCCGACAGCCTGTGGATAATAGGCAAATACCTTTATAATATAATCCTGCAACCTCTCCAACTGACACCGAGGGAGTGAATTATCGAGAGTTCTCAAGACCGTCAGCCCCTGTAGTAAAGTCATCAGCTTCCTTCATTGTCACAGTCCATAGTATAATAATCCTTACATACATGACTTATGGCGATATACGGATAATTGGGTCCATCGATGATAGAAAGTTCCTGCGTTTAGATAAAGATATCAATTTCTTTGGTATTCGATTTCTTGCCAAAGCATCCTTGAGTTTCTCAGAAACTATGGGATAAAATCGCACCGGCAACCCTTGAGACATGCACCGTTTGGTAAACGCCTTCATTGGCTTGACTAGCCAAACATTTTGTAGGCAAGCACCTCGTATGATCTCGATCTGCCTCCGGGCGTTTCAGGAAGTACGCAAAGAACCTGATATCGTAGCCTAGCGCTTCAAGCTCACTGACACTGCTCCAACCTTGTGGAAAGATTGGCTACTAACCAGGTTCATGGCCGTTAACCGCCCCTCTGGGTTCCAAATGCCACTTGCTACCGAGGAAAACAAGCTGTCCTCCTTGGTGGTCAGAGACCAAGATGCCGAATGGCATAGAATAGCTAGGAGGATGGTATGAAGTAGAATATCGATAGAGCATAATACGAGACTTTCTTCAAAAGAATACTTGTGTTCTTCGACGTCGAATTTTGGTCTTGCGAGGACCAGCTGTATGTGACGCACAATGCTCCATAATTTATGTTTCAATTTGCTTGATCCAGCCAGCCACCGAGACTAAAGGACATAGAAAAGTCTCTTAGGAAGGCCATTGAGGGGCTCAGTGGTGAAAACACCATCGACGATAAAGTCCCTTCGACGTCCATTGCAAGTCCAGAAAGCGAACAGACTTCCTCCAGAGCACCAAAAAAAAGGCAAATCCTGTAGGAAGCCGACCTTCATATTAGTTAAATATGTACTCCCATCGATCTTAGATATGGATGGTATCGCCAACCCATACCAATCAGCCCCATTCTTCAGGTCTCTGGTGCACATCCCAGCAGCAGGGCATGCGCCATCATGACAATTACGGTCGTGACGGTTGAATTTCCAGCCCATTCGTGAATGAAAATCCCGGAACCCGCGGTGATCATAGGGGTAAGATGAACACAAATACGGCACTGTAATTACGATAAATTCTGCTCGAGTGTCATCAAGGGGGTAGACAAGCTGATCTTTGGGGTTCCAGAGGAGTTTTCCGTCACAATAGAGTCGACAGAGAAAGTTCTTCAGAGTCATTTCCTACCCTGAACGGGAAGAAGACAGTGGTTCCAAAGTGGAAGTCATTTCAATTCAGACTCCGCAATGTAGGGCAATCATGGTAATCCTTTTTTTTTGTAAACAATAAACTATCTCAGCTCTATTACTTTATCTCCCCCATTATACACAAGCAATGTTCGAAATTCCTTTTTTGTTACCAGTGTGTTATCCTAGCTTGGCGAACGCCGAAACGAACACATTATCCGAGGCATCATGACCAGTAAGTTACTCAAAGTTCTCTTAAGTTTGCTCATTTTGTTGACGACTTCTTAACATCTCAAAATCACAAGTGAATATGTCCAAAACATAACATTCATATTATGATACATAACGTTGGTACACTGAGTATCGGGAAGACCTGTCTGAATTAAGTACATTAGGGATGTGAGGGATACGGTGATAACAGGAAGAGAAACAGGGAGACTAGATGGTCATGCGTCAGAATGGAAACTAGGATGAGATGCAAGGAAACCTGAAGATGCCGAACGGGAGAATGGATATAGTCGGTCGTGCCGTTGAAAAACAGATTGCGGAGGTGCTGTAAAATTGATATCCTCAATATGCCGAAGAGAAGTTAAATTAAGTCGTACGCAGAACTGAAGGCGAGCCGCGGAGCCATCACGAGTGAGCATTTGTGGATGAGGATCCTCCAGGAACAGCAGATCCTGAATTTGTCCCCGACGAAGAAGCGACAGGCCGAGCCTGCGACTTTCGCGTCGACGAAGAAGATCCTCTTGTATGATGGCGCGAACTGGATCCAGACTCGCCAGAGGCTCCTTTTGGCAAATTCGCAATGATCATGTCAATAGAAATGAAATGCAGCCACTTTTCCTTTCCATCGAGATTGTCATCCCAAAGGAAGGTTGTATTGTCTCCTCCTCTGAATGTCGCACATGAACACTGATATGTTTCTTCGACAAGCATACCATTCTTATAAACCCCCAGATTTACCATGGAGAGCCGAAATTCCCAGCCCGTAAGAGGTAGTCCGTCCAGATAGATGGTTCGTGCGGGTATATTGCAGTTCAGCCGCTTATAGTCGAAACCCTGAAAATTCCCGATGGCTCGAGCATAAGAAAATTTCAGGCAGAGAAGTATACAGAGACGACGGATTATAACGTCCTCTTTCAGGTCTGGATCTGTAAAAGCATCTCGTTCGAGTTCATGAAGCTATTGAAACATTAGATAAATCTCAGAAACAAAGATAAAAGTAAAATTAGATGGAGAAATGGACACATACCTCATGAGAATGTGCCCTTAGCAAATCACGTCCAGTGGGATGTGGTGGAACGACAGGGATTAGTTGCATGATGCCGACGCCAACGTGCGAAACTTGATCCTTGTGACCCCAGCAATATGCCATACAGACAAGGGATTCTTCGCCTATAACGTCAAATCCCAACACTTTCGATGTAAGAGTCGGCGATTCCTGGGATTTCACAATTAACACGGAATATCCAATTTGGGTGGCAATGGTCAAGACTTACAACGACTTGTTTACCATTCGCCAAGCTGTAAACCCAATGATTCGGTTGTATCGTTGGATGTTCATTCCATAGCACCAATCGTGGCAGTAATTTTGTTAGAATATGACCTACATGCCTGTTCAGGCGCCGAATAGTCTCTGTGGCGTACAAGACTCACGAGTGGCTTCAACGCGATCCGGAATTTTTGCAGCAGATAATCTTGTCTTCTCATCTACCAACGCCGCGCACATATCAAGCTCCTAAGAATATACACAGGCAGAAAAAAAGCCGTGAGCTGAGCACATTTTCCTTCCCAGGAATTTACACACTTTTGAATTCAGTCTACGCCCCAAAGTCACTGCCCAAGCGAAAAAAGGAGCTTCATCCTGCGATATACGGTGTCCAGACATTCCTTAAGATGATGGTAGAGGTGAAGAATGTAGTTAAGCTGACCCGGCACACGCGCGCTGTTGCATGTGGCACAAAATCGGCAGAGTCCGTCTTTTAAGAAATGATATTCGCTTACTAAGCACACGTGTATCGATCGCACATCATATCTCAACCAACCATTTACACACATAATGACTTGCTTTAAAGCTTCTTAGCATCATGTGGTTAACGCACGTCAAAACAATTAGCTTTGTGGATCGCCCACCATACTCTGAAACGTATGCTTTATTGTCTGTGCTACACGTTTGAAACTAACCGAGTTGTGGTACTCTTTTTTGTCTACAGAATACGCGACTAATACCGCGTTCATAATTCGACGCGATGTCGTCCTGTTCCAGCGTGTTATTTTGGGTAAAGACTGTTTTCCTGGCACTGACCGCGCGTCAGGAGAGGCGTGAGCGAATCTGATGGCAAAAATGTCAAGAAGCCGAATATGACACAACACGGTGTCGAACCCTCCCCTCGTTGATATTCGTTGACGTAGCTTTCGGCAGGTAAAGTGCAAATGTCCATTCAGGGTAATCGAGATACAGGCGAGTATGAACTAGCAGCCAATGCGAGGCAATAGTGTTGCTGAACGAGGGCAGACGGGCTTATCTATGCGCGCGTTGGCGAAATTGAGTTGTGCCGCAGTCCAGGCTAGGTAAGTAAGGAACTGTGATTCTTTGGAGCTGCACAGCACTGAGAACATGCCTTGGGCATGAGAGCTTTACCCTAGTCTCACGCCATCCTTTACCTTTCTCCAGTAGAAGTCCTTAAATGGAGATAATGGTAGGTCTTCCCTGGATAGATGGGGATATCTGGCTATTGTTCAGATCCAATCGCATATATCTACGATTCTAGAATCTAGTATTTTTCCTATCTGCTACTCGGTTATGCCAGCGCTCTCACACGAGTGCCTGTTCTTCCAACCACACGCGCTCATCCTGGGACAAATGATTGATGTGGTATTGAAGAAGTTTACCATTTCCCAATCTTTGCCACTCAAATGTGATCATGAGAGCGTTTGGTGGCACAGGAATATCAGAAACCTATTTGTATTTCAAGAATCCAGCGTCACCCTTCAAGGCAATTAAAAATACCTTGAATTTACAAGTGGCAAGTTAGCTCAACGATATATCGAGCTCAACTCCTTAGTTGTGCTAGTAAGTGACTGAATCCGTATTTGCCCGAAGATTAGTAATAATGGCGCATATGATGGATGTGAAGATGAGTTCAAATTTCACCAAGAAATTTTCTGGTCCGATATGAGGACGGATTAACCCTGGCATTTTTTCGAGCTGGATTATTACAACTACATAATCAATAACAATCTCAGGTAGTATAGTGGTTAGTATTCGCGCCTGTCATATTATGTGATCAGGGCGTGAGCGCGCGAGACCGGGGTTCAATTCCCCGCCTGAGAGGTTTTTTTTCTTTTTTACTTATATTAATGCCGTTTTAGCTAGTTCCCTAGATCGAAGAGAAGGCCCTTTACAAGCATTATCTTATTTTTGTGGATTATTCCCGTTTCTTTTTTTTTTCAGCCTCCCATCATCATCGTAAGGCCACTTCACTCTCCCAGCTGAAAGATCTGTTTTAACAATCTTTTTGACATAATGTTTCTAACAGTGGCAGCTATCATCTTGCAGAAGAGCTCCCGGAACGAGTCGGACTCGACATGCTGCATCCTATCTTTGGCCCATTCTGTCTGGTGGACCGGAAAATGCTGTATCAAAGATTCCAACGCGCAAGAATGCGTAATGATTGGTCAATATCTACCACTTTCACAGGTGACCGAGGTTACTGTATCCTTGCGCCATTGGCACAATAGTTTGCGCATGACCATCGCGGCTCTTCGAAGGGGCCTACAGCTAACAAACAAAGATAACAAAGAAAGGGGTCAGAACCATCTTTCTATCAGTTTTCTATTACTAAAGTAAACTCGAAAGTTGCTGGTATTTTTATCTCACTCTTCCCAGACAAAAAGTTATGGTATAATTCAACTTAACCCGAGAACATAACCCTAGCAGCCTTTCTACAGTGGCAGAGTCTCGACTCTTCGTGACAGATAGATAGTTAATAAAACAAATACGCTACATTCAAACATGATCGAGTTTATACTGAATTCTCATATGCCCTAATCAATGAATTTAATTCATTCTGAACTTCCCCAAGCACTCTGAGTCCTAGGCTGTCCTAGGGCCTAAACTTCGGGGACTTTCGAATGACGAAGGGAGCTTTGACGCCCGACTTCTAAATAAGGAAGAAATACTGTTCTTCTTCCTTCACTATCTCGTTAGGGCATGTTGCTTCAAGAACTTTGCAAGAAGACAGCTTGTTTCCTACATGCCTAATATTTGCTTCATAAATAATAAATAATAATAATAAACAATTGCATAACGGGTATGAATGTGCCATATATGGAGGTGCTAGCGCCTGTTACGGATGATCCGTACGCCCACGATGAACCAGCTGTATTTGTGGCTTGATTCTATTTTTCCACCTGGCAATCAAATCCGTCGCGTACTATGAGGGCTGCCCTGTCCGTCCTTTCTTTAGCTCTTCTCGCCAATGCAGGAGTCACGATCTATACCCAAGTCACCTTTGGGACGGGTGCTGCGACGGCGACGGGCTCTGCGTTTCCATCGGTCACCAATGCGGCGGCTTTTGACCCTACCATGCTAATACCACCTCCTCCGCCAAATCCTGCAGTAGGAGGAGCGAATGTTGTTCAATTGCTGACTGGAGCCATGGCAAACATGAGTGCGCCTGTTCAGAGTGGCTTCTTAGGCTTTTCTATCGAATTGTCAGTTGCCGACCAAGTCTGTGAGTGGACCAACTTTTCCTATAATGATTGACGCTTGACTTTGTTTCTAATAATAGTGGGTAAAAACGGGTAAGACCAATGTTTGAGCAGTTCGAGGAAGTCGTTTACACTGTTCTAGGTCTTTCATCAACCCTCAGCTATTGAACTTGCTCGAGACAATTAGCCAACGCGCCGGACGATGTGTAGTCCGTATCGGAGGTAACACTCAGGAGAATGCAGTCTTTTTCCCGCAGGGTTTGCCAAACCAAGAGACAATTAACAAAGATAAATCGAATCTCACGGGTCCGGTACGTCCCTCTTGTACAGT